TGGGAACACAGATCCGCTCCTCTGTCCCAGCTCAGCCCTCATCCTCAGACAGCCCAAATTGCTTCTCCATCTTTCCATGTACTAAGCTTCAGCATACCCATCCCCTGAGCATTCACCACCACGAGCTCCTCATTCCCAGCAACTCATTTTCCTCCACCCCAGGCTGCAGTAAACCCCTTACCTCTGGTACAACTTTGCAGATGGACTCTGAGCCCAGGCAACTTTTTTTTTTTTTGCAGAGCTCCAGAGCTGCCGTAGCGCTCCGTGCTGCTGCCTCAGTCCATCTCCCGTGGGGAAGCCCTGGGACGGGCAGTGGGGGAAGGAGTCAACCAGCAGGGCCCAGTGCCGGGTGGGAGGCGAGGGCCGGAGACAGGCCCCATCAAAGGCAGGAGGCCTGCTGGGGATCAGAAAGCAAGATACGCATCTAAATAATTCAGGCACTAATAAAAGCTCTGAGCCAGGCTCTGCAAGCTGGGAGAGAAGGCTGAATTTTGGTGTCTTTCGAGCTCTAGAAATGCCGTGTTACTCAATAACCCGATACTGACAAATCAATATTATTTTAAGAGTATCCCACAAAGTTAATGAGGAAAGTGGCTGTGCCCAGTTTTGTTGTTTTATAGGCTTAGCTTTAGGCTGAAATATTAATGAGTGAAGGTTTTGAGAACTTCAAGTCTGACCTCTACAGGTGGAATAGGTACAGTAGCACTGATCTCAAAATGAGCATCGTATTTTGAGGGACTGGAGAAAGGACCAGATGTAATAGAAAACCTCAGGCTATCATCATTACATCATTAAAGTCTTATTTTTAAAACACTATATTTATTATCTGTGGTAATTTAGTTCATCCAAATGCATTCTTGCAAAATGCATCCACTCTGCAGCAAAATCAGGACGTCCGGCACGAATATACTTGCATTCCAAAGTGTTACAAGGTTTTGCTTCTGCTTTTTATTATTCCTCCCTCCTCCCCAATCTTCCACATGATCTGCTCCTTCAGCGCTACAGAAACAAATGCTACTTTGAAACTGATAACACACATTTGTGTTTTGCAAAACTGATTTTTTTAAATGCCGTGACTGGTGCCACCTTTTTCTAATCAGAACCAACCACTCTAACAAACTGCCCTTTGTCCGGTGATCCCATCCCCTCTGTTCCCACCAACCTACAGCACATGTTGCCATAGCTACACTGCACGTCTATTTACCACACAAGTGATCAAAGGAGGCAGACAACACACACACACACACATCAAATCCTCACCAGGCTTCCTAAGGAGCAATGCCCCGCAACTAATTAACTGATACACTCACTGCCTGCGGACTCTGTACACTTGTTTTCTTTATTCTGCACGGTACAGCACAAAACAACAAGAAAACAGCATTCTGTGAGATGCTCATTCTTTCCTTATAGACCAAACAAACAACAAAATATCCCAGGAGGAACTTTAAAGAGAGTTTCCTAAAGCAAGACTAAGGAGTAGAACACCCCAGGATAAGAAAACAGCTTTTCCACTGAGGAACACATTAAAAATTCTAAAAGGTATGCAAAAGAAAATAGGAAATAAGAAACACATGCTAAGAATTTAAACATCTGTAAGCAAAGGGGATGTTTCTGTGTTTTGCATGTGTTATTCACTGAAACTGTATGCAACATTTACTCATTTGATGAATTGCATACACACTAAAAGCTATATGACTGCAGTCATGATAACTATGGCCTTCTGTGTCTTAGAAAGGAGTTTTTCGTTTTTAGGTGGCCAGTCATTTTGTTAAACCTCTTTTGTGATGGAGGCCTCAACTTTGCCTTGATCAAAGTCAATAGAACTTCAATAGGAAGAGGCCGAGGCAGGGAGTTGCAGCATTTGTCGCATTTGTCAGGACACTCCCATAAGCTGCTCTTCAGGGATTTGCTGTAGGTGAAACTAAGTGAAAATGATGTATTAAAATTCAAACATTTGTTTTAGCTTGAAGCGAGCTTAGGGAACTTAAAACAGAGCTCACAGTGCCCTCTCCAGTTCTGCAGCAAACTAAGGGAATCCAATCAGCCTCCAGCCACAAAAAGCCACCTTCAAGCACATGAAGGCTGAGCACCTTCTCAGAAGACTCCACCACTTGCACGTTGCCTTGCTTAGGCACATCTTTACTGAAGCCTCTATGCAAGGTTATTATTTTTATTTTATTTTACTAATAATAATTATTTTATTATTATTTTCATTTTATTATTATTCAACTCTTTGAAAGGGTAGATAACAGCAGGACAAGGGGAAATGGTTTTAAGTTGAGGGAGGGAAGATTTAGGTTGGGTGTCAGGGGGAAGTTCGTTACTATGAGAGTGGTGAGGTACTGGAACAGGCTGCCCAGAGAGGTTGTGGATGCCCCATCCCTGGAGGTGTTCAAGGCCAGGTTGGATGGGGCCCTGGGCGGCCTGGTCTAGTATTAAATGGGGAGGTTGGTGGCCCTGCATGTGGCAGAAGGGTTGGAGCTTCATGATCCTTGAGGTCCCTTCCAACCCTGGCCATTCTGCGATTCTGTGGTTATTTCTACCAGGCAGCAAGGAGACAGCTCTTGCTGAGGTTTTCAATAATCAGCTAAAAATGACTACTTTTTCATAACTCTCTCATTTACAAACCTCAACACAGCATCCTATGGCAATCCCTGTTACCTGCTAGGAACCAATGCTTGGTGCAGTGGTAAAGTTGGTTGAACCTTACCTGCTCAACAAGCTGCATATTACATTTCTACAGTAACTCCCATACTCCTTTTGAGGAGATGAGTGCATTTGTATCAGATGTACCATTGTTCAGTATCTACCTGCTGCTTTTGGGCCAATTCAGTCACCAGCACAATATACAGTTCTATTCCAGGGCTAGCAACGTGCCACCTGCGTGACAGTTAACTCTTCAGCCTCATGTTATGCTGTAGCTGCCACCAAGATCATCTCCAGGTGGGAGTAGCTGGTCTCTGAACCCAGTACAAGAGCAGAGAGTCAAGTCAGCCCCTTGCACCATCCAGTTTAAAGCCAGAGATGGGAGCACCTGGGGAGGGCAGGAAGGCAACGGGACAGGGAGGGAGAGAGGACACCCTGTAGGCACTCAGCACTCCGCACAGGAGAGAAGTACAAGGGCCAACAGGAAAGCAGTCTGCAAATTCCTCTTTCCCATAAGAATGGGAAACTACAAACAGGAGCATGGGCTCCAAGTGCACGTGATGCTCATTCTCCCAGGTAGCTGCCATAACGATTTCCCTAACAGCCCCCACCCCATAGCTCGCCCCAGCCCTCAGCTCCCACCCAAACAAGCAGCCACCCCCCAGCCACCAGCCCCTCCAGCACACCCAGCATTCCCCTGCCAAACCGAAAATAGCTGCGCACAAGACAACAACCAGACCCGGGGAAATACTTTTAAACTGTTCCCTTGGCTCGGGGTGCAAAACCGCACTCGGGGGCAGGTGTTTCAACAAGCTCTGGCAGCCCTTCAGCTGGCCCTGCCTCCCCAGGAGGAGCAGCAGCTGGGGCGGGCGGCGGGCACCCGGGGCGTGCCGGGCCATGCAGGAGCCAGCGCTGTGCCTGTGCCTGCACTGCTCCTCAGGCGGAACGCCTCCCCCCTTCCTCATCTCTTCCCTGAGCGGGAGGCAGGGTATCCACACTCCTAATTTCATTCGCCTTCTCCTTTCTGTTTTACACAAAGCTCAGTAAGACATAAAATCAAACGCTTCAGGTGAGCGAAGCGCGCATTTCCCAGAGCGTTTTACTTTTTTTGCTTTTCTTTACTGTCAGCCTGCAACTGCTTCTTTCTCTATTCCCCATTGGCAACCCCCTGTGCCAAAGTACCCTCTTGCGGCGATAATGACTTCTGATGACTGCGTGCATCCGACTGACCAACCTGAGGCACGCGGTATATAAAATGCCCTTCATTTGGCTTCGCAAGGACAAGAATTTCCCTCTCTTTTAAAAACAACAGGAGTATTTTACTTTCTGGTGGGAGAAGGAAATACCATTCCCCCTCCCTCACCTGCCTTTTCTCCTTCTCCCTTCACCACCTCTCTCCACTCAGGAGAGCAGGGTGAGGAAGCTGAGATTTCCCACCACACATTCAGAAAGCAAACACAAAACAAACGCTCCGTTTGCACTACAGGTGCAAAACCTGCACACGCACTCCCAGAGCATACAGTCTAAAAGTCCCACTGAGAGCTGAATGAATAACACGCGTACAGAAGAGTACCTTCTCTCGTTTCCTTGCATTTATCCATTTGCTACCTAGAAAATAACACACGAAGTGCAAGATTCGGAAGCAAACCGGCAGGGCTTTATGAAGTAGGACAGATCTCTGATTCAGCCTTTAAACCTGGCCCCACCAGCTTGCCTGGCTCCCACAGGCTCCTCTAACTGCGTGTTGTTGTTGCAAAACTAGGAGCAGTGAGAATCAAAACCATCTCGCCACTGTTCCTTTTAACTGGGGGAAAGAGAATAAAAGCTCCTTTTGTCCCTTCAGGTGAATAGAAAAAAAGCCTCATTTGAATAATCTTGGGAAAAAAATTCACTAGAAAACCCATCTTAAAGTACTTTTGTGAGGCTGTAAGACAGCTTGAAACTACCACGTTTTAAAGCAATCAGAAGATTAAAGCACTGGCAGGCAAGGAGCTCACGCAGAGCAGTTTAATAAATTATCCCTGGGCTGAATTATTGGCGTGTTTAGCCCTATAACACAGCGAGCCCTTTCCTTTTCCATGTCACGGAGACAAGCCCACACAATGCATGCAAGCCACAGCAAGCGGGAATTGATTTACGGATCTCACAAACGCCGTTCGTCCCCTGAACAGGCGCACAGCGACCCGCACGGCAAGGAAAATTTGAAAATCGAAATAAATAAATCACTTATGCTTCCCTTTGCCTTGAAACTTACTTTACAAGAGGGTAAGGGGAAAAAAAGAAAAAGGAAAGAAGCCTCGATGCCGCCCAGCGCAGAGCGCGGCGCTCCTTCCGCCCGGAGCCGAGCTCCTCACCTGCCTCATGGTGAGCTTCCCATCATCCATCCAGCCGGGAAGGGGCTACGCCGCGCCACTGGCCGCAGGGCAGGGATCCATCAAGTTTCCTGCTGTACGCAAGTTTTTCCCCCTCGCCTTGGCTGTTTTTACTTTTTTTTTTTTTTTTTTCCCTTTCTTTCTCCCCCCCCTCTTCTTTTATCCTTTGCTGGGGGGGAACCCTTCCTAAGACAATGTCAAGTTTCCCAGCCTTCCTTCCCAGCCTATTAAAAGTCAGGAGTAGGGAGGCAACTGTCCGCCTGACTCCTATTTCAAACCGCAGCGCAGGGATGTAGCAGTTGGCTGAATCAGGCCGTGCCATCGCCTCGCCAATCAGGAGAGAGGGGAGGGAGGGAGGAGAGCGCATAAAGGCTGCCGACATGAGGATTAGGAAAGCTTTCAAGGATTTGAAAGACTGAAAGCAGCTGGAAACAGTGTCTAGGGCTACAAAGAGAGAAGTCAATTTGCGGTGCGAGAGATTATTCTCGTTTAACTGCTCCGGGTCTGTTTAAAGGGCTCCCAGGACTTAAGCAAAAACGTAGAGATGTCCATGGAAACTCCCCAAGTCCCACAGCCACATAGAACGCGCAGGGCACTCGCGAAGTGGCTCGCGAATGTGGCAATGTTTCATGCTAGCAACAGCCATGGGTGTTCTAAATGCACCTATTTCCTCATGTCAGGTTAAAAAAGAAACTCTGTCATTAATGAGAGAAGAAAGCTAGGAAAATGCCGTATGCCAGTTGCATGAAGAGCAAGTGCTGGTCTGCTGTGAGATTTTGCCTTGGTGGCAAATACTCAATCACCTCTGCCTGCTTTCCCTTCTTTAGGGTGATTTCTGAAACTTTGTTACTCGTGCAACAAAATACTGGAACCCAATTGCAACTTCAAAGGAAACGGATACATATTTCTGATTTTGATGAGATTGGCTTTTATCTGCTGCCCCTCAGTGGCTTACATTAAAATAAACAAATAAAAAGGCTACATACATATGTACATAAACCCCTAATCTATAATGTCATTGCAGTTTGAGTTACGCCTTTCTTGAGTCAAAAGCAAACAAACAGAAAAGCAGAGAAACAGAAAACTGCAAATTCACAAATTCATACCACCCACTCTTTTCCAATTTCTTTTCCCCTCGCTTTATATCAGTTCAGAAAGCCATTAGTCTCTGTTTCTCTAAAGGGAAAGCTGTCTTTTGATCTCAAGGGGACAATCAGGCAGATCTGATGTCTGAAGAAAAGCCCCAACATCGTGGATTTGCTTCTGTAAGGGTTTTATCTACCACGGCAAAATGCAGTCATTCTCCAGAATTCCTATCAGTACAAGAAATCTTATTGAACTGAGCTGCAGGAAAAAAAGTGAAATAATAAGTTGTTAGAGTGATGTGCTGCCAGGATTTTAATTAAAGACTTCTTAAAATATATTTCTCTTTAGCTTATAAAAGCTAAAAGTGATAGATAAGCTCCAGTGCTGGGTATGTCACATGAAAAGCAAGGTCTGAAAAATCTGCTCGATTGCTTTCCCATTGAAAAACAATAATTTTCCTCCTAAGTGCCACCAAGAGGGGAGTTTGCATAATACTGGCACTGTACAGCTTAGAAGCAAGGAGGGATGGAGGGAAAAGCTGATGTGAAGCACTTCATCCACGGCCAGCTGTGCTCATCAGGTACCCGTTCTAAAGTGGGAGGATCCCATTATGCTTCACTTGCAACACAAACCAAGTGTCTCGATGGCTATTCACAACACCCTGCACAGGGTAAGACCAAAGCACAGACAACTCATTGATCCTCCAGTGATGGTGTTGTCAGGCATGCTTGCACAATGGCTCCAAGTAGCTGCAATGCAAGAGTGGGGTGCATTAAGAGCACTTAACAGGAATGCTTCTCCTCTGATGCCCAAACACAGCAGAATGGACACATGTCATTTGAACTGAGTAGTGATATGCGAAAACCTTTTACAGTGGTTAAACCCAGGAGAATTCCCTCTGATATGCATTCAAAAGGAGAGGAATGATGCTTTTCTGAAGTAATTGTGCCATAGAGAGAAACTCTGTTGGTACCAGTGATTTAGATGAAGGTTCAGAATTTAAAAATCAGCAAGGAATATGAAGCAAAGAATACAAAAGGGTGAACATCTGAACTGGTTTTGAAGGTACTCCATCTCCAGAGACACAGCGGTACAGCTAGATGGGAGGAACAAGAGTTTGGATGCCAGTTTGGATGCAAGACCCGTGCTGGTTTTTAAACATTCAAGATATTTGTTTTCACATCTGTCACCCGATTGTATGTATGTATGTGAGAAAGTCATACCATATTCAGAGGAAGGAAAAAACATGCTGGCCTGGAAGGAAGAAACTTTCACAGTCTGTCCAGTGGGAACTTGTGGAAGAAAGGCAGCCAGAGGAGGTGGTACCAGGTGTAAGTTCAGGCACTGCCAAGAGCAAACACCTGCATTACTGAGAGCAAAGTCATGGCTGGGAGCCCGACAGCCTTAGAGGATTCTCATGGATGTATGTTAAAAGACAAATGATTACAAGGACAAAGGGCAGAATGAGGATTAGCTCAGTGGTAATCAATACAGTGAACAAGTCTGAAGGTTAAAAATTGTGACAAGGCAAATTCAAGAACAGTTTCAAACAGGTGATCCAGATGCAGGGCAACCTAACATGGAATTTACTTGATCACTGGAATTTTTTTCATTTAAAGCAATTTTATGTAGTCCAGCCCAGCCAGAGCCGTGCCAGTAGCATGGGGTGCAAAATGGGAAGTGGAAGGACTTCTCATTACCTGAATTCCAGCTGCCATGGAAATCTTAGTGCAGAGAATTGAATATAAGCCGCAGACAGAAGAACCACTCTGTGTCCTTACAGAGCTGGGCCAGATAGATATGGACCAGACCCCAGGGTATATTATACACAGTAGGAGTAAAATATTGAAAGCAGAGAAAAACATGACTCGGCACATGGGTTAGAAAGAACCGAACCTAGCTTGAAAATCAACATTTTAAATGTCTTTAGATATGAAGTCTGTCACAAATAGGTTGCCTTTACTTTGCAATAGACAACTGTAAAAACAAAGATGCGTGTGTTTTTTAAAATAAACAAGCTGAACAGTTGCACTTTGGGAGGAAAAGGTAATATTCATATTCAAACTAATATTGCAATTCATTTCTAATGTTTTTAATAGTTCCTCCCCTAGCAGATTGAAATTGGCACCTGCAGGAAGACTGGGATGCTCAGAATACAAAATGCTACTTAATAACCCCAGATAACACTAGAATATATAACTCCAGGCAACTCTGGAATGTAAAAATAACCTCCAGTAGAACTGGCACAATAACACTTGAATTAGAAAGCTCTAAGTTGGAAAGATTTCTGAGAAGATGGCATAAAAATTAAAAGAAGTCTGAAATACTATCAATATACTTCAAAAAAACCCTGTTTTCAAGATGAGAAAGTGTCACACCAATTTTGAAACACATAGCCAATGAGTACAAGAAAGTGCTGAGTGGAACCTTGCAAAGCAGTACTTAACTGCCTTTATCAACACTGCTGTGGTGAATGGAAGAAAGATGAACTAATTACCCTGGCAGAATGTCTGACATGGGTATTTAAATGCACATCCAACAGAAATTCAAAAAGTAAGACCAGCAATGTCAGGCAACCTTCAATTTACAAATAGAGACTGAAAGCTTCAGCTACAAAGTCCTTAAGGCTGACCTTTGGGAAATCCATTACCTTTCAAGCAAGATGACTCAGCCTCTTGGCAGGGTATCTCTGAAAAGGCAGAGATGAGATCACACTGCAGCCCTCTTGGAGGAGCGGTCCTTAGTAGACCATTCTCCTTGCTCAGTTATTTACCACATCCTTCAGACTGCTCTGGTCTCATTTGGGGCTGCACCAGCCACAGGCAAGAGAGAAAGAAGATGTCTTCAGAACAACTCCTTCCTCCATCACTTACACAATCTAAACTATCCGCGGCTCAGGCCGACAGAAACATGGTACAAAATGATCCATCTGTACCCACCTTAATGACAAAACTGACTAGACTTTTTGATTCGGCTATTTTAATCAAAAGACTAATAACTTCTGGATTTCATTTCACTGCATCTGTGCTAAGAGGCAGATGCTTGATCTGCTAGGCTGAACAAGTTGGTGCACAGTTGTGTGTAATAAATCAGTGGGAAAAAAAGTCTCTGAAAGTCTGTTTCAAAATTATATGGAAGTACAATGAGTTAAAGACTGACAAAGAAGAATGATAGAAGGGCTGAGAGGTTCTAAGCTATCTGTTCTCTAACACAGGTACATGCAGAATTTAATACAAATCATATTTAGTTTACTGAGGTTACCTTTTTTTATTTGCTAGTTGATAGTTGGTTGGCAATGATACCTAATTGCTTTTAAAAGTAATAGTTAAATGACATTGGTTTTTTTCTTAATACTCAAGATTTAATAACCATCCATGAAATCAAGAATGATAAAATAATAAGCTTTATGTTTCTGCAAGCCCTCATTAGCATGGAAAAAAAAAAAAAGCTATTTAATTACACTGCATTTTCTATCAACAACTTATTTAGTGAACTGACTTCAAAAATCAATCACACAATGAATCATGTTAAGCAAGTAAAGATTCAGGCACATATCAAAAACATCTCTCTACAAATCCCATGAAAAAAGGTACCACTGTTGGGAAGAACAACGAGCATTTCACTGACTTGAAATCAGACATTTCAGCTCAGATTGACACAGTTGAATTTGCCTAAAAATTCTAGTCGTTCTAAAATCTTTTTTGTTTCATTTTTTTCTGGGCAGAAAAAGCAAGAAAATTTCAGCAACAAGCTATATTTTCTCATGAAATCTAATTTTACAGGAAAGCCTCCCCTAGGAGTATTCCCTCAGGGAATTCTCCTTTATCTTTTCTCCCCACAACTATCCGTGCCAGCTGCCTCCGTGTGGAAAATATGCTTCTGTGAAGCACGGACAGGAGATGGAAAAGTTATCTGTTGATTATACAGCAACACAGTCAGACAGAAAAATCTTGTGTAGTGAAGTATTCTTTTTCACAGGACTCAGAATCATACCTTAAAGAGCAGCAATACAAACTGCATCCAGTAAGCTGCTCATGTCCAGGGCGAGGCGTTTGGTTTCCCCCCATTCTAATTCTTCAACTTTGTATTGAAGCTACCTTTGCTTTCCTAAATATGCAGTTATTTCTAGAAAATTTTGTGTATGCGTGTCTGC